ACACCAGCCAACCAACTGTTCGAATCCCCACTCGTGCCACGGAAGCTCGCTGGGTGACCCTGGGCCAGTCCCTCTCAGCCTCACCTACCTCACAGGGTTGTTGTGAGGATAAAACGGAGAAGGACGCAGGCCGCTTTGGGTCCCCACTGGGGGGTGAAAGGCGGGATATAAGGAAACATAAATACACAAATTCCAAACTGGAGCATCCACCCAAAGTTCTGCCCTGACTGTGTACCAGCTGTCTTTCCCCAATCCACAGTATGCTCTTTCCCAGTTTAATTCTGGGTACGAGCTTTAGTGTGTATCTGCAGAAGGGTGTTTGAACACGAAAAGCTGATACCTTGAATAAAACTAAAGATTGGATATGAAAATGTATCAAGATTAGGATTGTCTCTGTAACCCTTTAAAAGAGTTAACAATCATGTTCTCTGGGTATTATTCAAGTGGCAAGACATTTTTAAACCCTACGTTTTCCTGTGGTGAGAAATAATTAGAGGCTGGTTGTTTGAAAGTGTTTAAGAACTATATAGTACAGAAATATTTTCCCCAAACCAGACTGGAGTGCTCAGATTTGCTACAATTGAGGATATTTTTTTCATTTGCTAATTAGGCTATATGTAAGCATTGCCAGATTTTTTGGCCATATCCTTGCAACCCAGTCTAAGGAATGTACATCCATACCATAACCTTGTTGAGACTGTGGAAAAGACAGGTAATACTGGTTGGAAAGGCTGATATTTTAGAGGCATTGAATCCACTTGTCCTTGATGGGGTGATTTTGACTTTTTCAGAGCAGTTTTTCAGAGCAGAGTTTGGGGGTGCTCATAGATTCTGTATTGCTGTTTGAAAAGCAGGTGGGCATGGTGGCCAGGAGCACCTTCTGTCAGCTGCATCTGGTTTGTCAGCTCTCTCATTACCTAGACTCAGATAATCCGGTCATGCTGATCCATGCTTCTATAACCTCACAGTTGGATATACTGCAATGTGCCCTACGCAGGACTTCCCTTGAAGACAGCCCAGAAACAACAACTGGGCCAGAATGTGGCAACCCAGTTACCATCAGGGGCTAGCTGCAGGGAACATTTGTTGCTCATTTTGAAGCAGCTTAATTGACCACCAGTCTGTTTTCAATTCATGGTGCTGTTTGTTTTTGTTTTTTTAATTGTTATTTTTATTTATTTTCCAGAACAGTTCGTACATAAACATACAAGAATAACATGAACATTCGCTTGTCATACCTACAGAGAAACCTTCAATTCCACTTAGAGGTCTATAGGCTTCAAATATATATATATATGTTGTCGCATAACATTTTGCTATTCTATCAGGTGTCCAGTGCCACCTATGGAACATTTTATATATGTTCTCTTTATATGGTATTGCTCTCATCAGTTTAGCTGCATTCCAAATTTTGGACCATTGATCTATCTCCAAAGTGTGTTCTAGGTCTTTCATCCAGGCCACCATAGCCCCTTTTACTGTTTGATCTTGTAGATAGCCAGATAATAATAAAGTTTATCGCTTGGAAACTTTGTGTGTCTTAAAGGTGCCGCTGGACTCGAACTTTGTTCTGTGTCTGTACACAGTAATGTATATTTTCATCAGGCCTAAGCAAAGGCCGAAGAAGCGTGCGTGCGCACGAAAGCTTACACCCAGAATTAAACTCTGTTGGTCTTAAAGGTGCCACTGGACGCACACTTTGATGATGATGATAATAGCAACAACAACAATAACAACAATAATGGTGTGCTACCAAGCCTCAAGAGCCACAGTGGCTCAGAGGTTAGGACGCTGAGCTGCAGACCGGAAGGTTGGTAGTTCGGCAGTTTGAGACCCGAGTGCCACGTGACGGAGTGAACCCCCATCTCTGGCCCCAGCTCCTGCCAACCTAGCAGTTCGAGAGCAAGAAATTGCAAGTAGATAAATAGGTACCACTTCAGTGGGAAGGTAACAGCGTTCCGTGCGCCTCGGCGTTTAGTCATGCCGGTCACATGACCACGGAATGTCTTCGGACAGCGCTGGCTCTTCGGCTTGGAAACGGAGATGAGCACCGCACCCAAGAGTCGGATTCGACTATCTTTTGAGCAAGGGAGACCTTTATCAAGCCCCAACTGACTCATGGTGACCCCAGGACCACAGGGGTTTTCAAGGCCAGACGAGC